AATAGGTTTCAAACCAAGAATTAAAGTGATTAAGAGAGTTTTTTAAAAATGAAATGCAAATTCATTTAAGAAACAGTGTTTTAGAAATATTGAAAAGAACTTGATATTGAATCTAGTATCTGATTGAATAATAAAATATTTTTGGTCAAGATCAGTAGTTTGAGTAAAAGATTCAATTTTGAATTTTTTAGATCTAAGTTTTAAATCTTTAGCAAATTTTTGATAATTGATTGATTGGTAATTATTGGATAAAAAAAGATGAAGTTGTACAAGATTGAGGCAAAGTTGGAGACAGTTATAAGTAGTATATAGAGTGATGATAACTGGTAAGGCAAAGATTTCAAGATAGTTAAGTTTTGTAAAAAGAACAGTTGTAAATTTAAAGACTAGATTTTTGAAAATAGATTCAAGAAGATCAAATGAAATAGTAATACTTTTATCAATATTAGAATTGCTACTATAGATAAGATCAATTAAGAATTCTAGTTGTTGTCCAGTCATGATATAGATAATATAATAAAATGAGGCCTTAAGTGCAGGTTAAATAGGAGTGAAGGCTTAATTTCTTTACTAAGATAAAAATCATAAAGAAATTTTTTAAGAAAAATAAAAAGTTAGAGTGAAATTATGGTTTATAATCTTTTGTTAGATTGCATTTCTTCAGTAATTGAAAAATTTGCAAGCCAGTCATATGTAGGATTAGATTTTGGTTTAGCAATACTAGAGTAGGTTTAAAAAGAATGTTTGTTAGAAGTACTGTTAAGTGGGTTTGTATTATTAGAATTATTAAGATTTAAGTTGACATTATCAGAAATGTTAGTAATTGAAGATTGGTTAAAGGCAGAGTTAGTATTAATAGTTATAGCAAAAAAGGAGTCAATAAGATTAGAAGAAATAGAGATTTGATAAGAAGAGGTAGTAAAAGAATTAGTAGTGTAAGAGGATTCATATAGGATGTTTTGGAAGGTTTAAGTAAGGTTTTTCTTAGTTTGAGATGAGCTAGCTTTATATTGAGATGAAGTAGTTATGCAGATAAGATAATAAACTTCATTATTTTTAGTGACATATTTTTTATTGAGGTAATGGCAATTATTTTTCTTGGTACAGCTAATAGAAAGAGAACATTTAGAGTAGGTATGATAATGTACATCAGGAATAGGAGATGGAGGGATATTGTCAGTTGAAAAGGAAAAAGTAGTTAGGAATTGTTGGCCTGGTTTATTAAGATTCTTTTTTATTACTATTAACATAAACTGTAATAAGATCAGTAGCTTGAGTATGGTTAGTATTGGTAGGTGAGATGAATTTGGTATGATATTTATCACAAAGACAAGTAATCACAGAAGTAGAAGAAGGAACTTGGAAGAAGTAAGTAATTTATTAGATCTAAGGTTTTTAGTTAAGCAAGAAGTAAGTTTAATTTTAGGAGGAATTGAATAAGCATTATTGCCACTTTCTTCTTCATAGAGGGTAATTCCAAAACTGTTAGAAAAGTTTTGATAGAAGTAGTCAAGATCTGCTATGTTCAGCTCTTGGTTGGTTAATGTAGATATTTTTGAAAAATAGATAAGTAAATAGGTATTATATTAATAACTTAGAAGATTTTTCTAAATTAAAATTGTAATCAGATAATTAATTTGTAAAGTTAATAATTAAAAGCAAGGCTTATAAGGTTGAAATGTAACTGGAATAGTACAGCATATAACAAGAATAGTTGGGGTCACTGATATGATTTGGGTACAATACATATACAAATAAGATTTGCAATACAAATTATTGTATATTATTAATAAAATTTAAATATGAAAATAATTTAATAATGTTGAATGAATTTTTATAAATAGATAGGTTACAGAAAATTTTTGTATAAATTAATAAAGTATGGATTGGGCAATAATAGTATGGTTATATGAAAAATGTGTAAGGAAAAAAGTAAGTAGATAGGAACAAAAATTAAAAAAAAGAAAAAGTTTAACAAGAGAATAAAAAAGAAATTTTATTGTAATTCAGCCAATATTGGATCAAAATTCTTCATTTAGAGCTTGTTTTGACTGAGCAAATATGTATTACAACTTTAATTAAGACTATAAGATAAATTATTGCAGTAGAAACTGCAAAAAAATTAAATTGTTAAAACTAAGACCAAAGGCCATTAGTACAGTGTTTTCAATGAATTGAAAGTTAGAAATATAAAATTTGCAGAATATATGTAAAATACTGTGCTGAACAAGTTTACTTAAGACATCAGGACAGGTTGTCTTAGTAAAATAAATAGTTATAAGTATTTTTATATAAATGATTTTTTAGTTAATTTTTATGTAATGAATTTGCAGAAAGAGTTTATAATAAGTCTGTTGCTAAACTAATCCAACTTTTATATAAACTATGATGGCTAAGTGTATTAGATTTGGCTGATGGTTTATTTGTAGTTAAGTAATAGGCTTCTTTCTTAAATCTTTTTTTTAACTAATTCCTCTATTAACCTTTGTCTTCTTTTGTCTTCTCTTGTATGCCTCAACTCAGATTACTCTTTATCAAATCAGGGTTGGAACTTTCTCTATTATGTTAACAGTTTGGTCATATGACTTGCAGCAAGTGATCAATAGTGAGTTTAGTGGTGTTATTTGGCAAATAATAAAGGTAACAACAAGATTTAATGATCATTTATTAGTTTATATAAGGTAGACTTTACTTATATTAGAAGTTGAGTATTTATTGTAAGTAGAAAATTTATTATTATTAGAGAATTTTGTTGTTAGAAATTTGGAAATTATTATAAAAAAGAGATAATTATCTCTTTCTTCTTGGCAGAAATGTTTTTTATTTATAATAAACAGTTTATTTATATTATTAAGTAATTTCTATCATAAATGCAATATTTTTCTTATATGCTATATATTAATTAAATTTAATAAAAGGTTAATATTCTATTTATTGCAAAAATAATATAAGTAACAGAAGTAATAAAAGTTAGAAAAGTAACAGAACTAACATTTCCATTACTTTTCATATGATCTTGGATTAGGTATGGATTATTATCTTGATTTGAGTATTTGTAATTCTAAAAATTAGACATACAATAGATGTTTTGATTAGAATTTAATTTTACAATAACTTATTGCATTTCAAATTCTAATTATCATGCATTATATATTCTAATAAGTATTTATAAGAGAGATTTTTTTATAACTTTGTAGTTTTATTAATTGCCTCTTAATAATTCTATTTATATATATTATCTGGTCCAAATTAATATATATACTACTTTTAATTTGCTTAAGTTTATGTCTATTAAAAATTTTATTATATTTGTCTGTTCTAACCTTATATGATATTAGATAAATAATCTGTAAAAAAATAACTTTTATGAAATCAAGTAACAATAAACAATAATGATAATATAATGATAATTAAATAATTAGCATAGGCAAAATAAATATATAGCAATTTATTACATATATATATATAATTATATTTAACTGGAATATACTATAAAAGAATATTTTACACAATGAATTTAGAGTTTTACAAGTGTCTGATATATTTAGTAACAATAGAGTCTATATCCAATAGCTGCTTACAAACTCTATTATTGATTTTTATAAACTTTGACAGTATTATTTTAAAACCTATAATAAATTATATTATTTTAGTTTCATTATATATAATATTATAATGCAAAATTGAAAAAGATGAACAAAAGGCTTTTGAATATGAAACAAATACTTATCTTCAAAATTCAGTTATACACTATAAAACTTTATATAAAAGTTTAGTTTATACTATAGAATTTAAAGCTATATATCCAATTGCTAATATATTGATATGGACTAAAAAGCTCAACTTATACAAAGTTTTAGATTAATATATAACAGAGACAAGTCATGAAAAGAATAAGTATGCAACTATGACTTGTTCAATAGATTATATTAAAAACAAACTATATTATTTTATTAGATTTGAAAATGGTTTAAATAATTTTGTAATGTCTAATAAAGTCCATTATGTGCTACTAATATATGTCAAAAAAAAAATAAATAAATGCAAAATATTTTAAATTAAAGAACATCTAAAAACAAAACAAAAACAAAATACTACTAAATGGTTTAAAGTTTTATTATTCAGTTTACATCTACAACAAATTAAAGAAGTATATGAAAAAAAGCATATATATATATTAAAACCTTTTGACAAATTAAGTAAATCAGAACAATGTACATATAACAAATAATTTGAATCAGTACTTTACAACCAATTTTAAAATAATACTAAAATTCTATTTTGTGATAGTGATAAAATAATATTAAATGAATTAATATTTTCTATTAATAATAATTAGTTCAAAATAATTTATAACCAACTAAAAAATAATTTAGAAGAATTACAAATTAAAGCTATTGTTAAACAACAGATATTGAAAAAATTTTACATTCAGTATATAAAACTCTGGCATCTATTAGTTATAATCTTTCATGCAAATAGGCAGTAACAAGAGGCAACAAACAATTACAAATAAAATCAATATAGTAATCAAACTTTAATTTTTAATTTAACAATTATATTACTTAATCAAAATTTAAATAATAAAAATATTAATATTTAAATACTGAAATTATTAAGTCAGTAACTAAGTCAATTAGAAAAGTTGCATATAGACTAATTAAAGAAATATTAGCTTATCTAATTTCAGTTTGGCTTAAAAAAAAATTATAAAAATAGATCTACTTACTATTTATATAAGGATCTTAGGTGATGGTTGTAACATAGGCAAAAAAGTAAAATATATGATGTTTATATTTGCGATTTTAAATAATTTAAAAAATATTTTTAAACCAAATAATCATTATACTCTAATTCTTTACCTGTGTATTAAAAATTATAAAAGCTTAGAGGTTGCATTAAATATTTTAATTGCTAATTTTAATAGTATTAAAGATGTTTATAAAAGTTAACAAAGTAGACAATGGCAAATCAAACTATATTTCAACATATATTAGAAAATGCTTGCACTTTGCTTAGGTTATAAAGCTGCCAATTCTGATCATTTTTGTCTTTAGGTTGTTGTAGTAAAAATAAAATAAAAATTTAGATCTTGACTAACAATACAAAAAAATATAGAGAAAATTAATAAAAATTATATAATAATTAATAGTTATAAAAAAAAACTACTTTTTTCAATGATTTTACTTACTATTTGGTTTCTCAATAAATTGTACTTAATATTAAGAATTACAAACAGACTTTGAACTTTAATTCTTTTAGAATTAAAAACTACTAAACAATTTGATAAAATGAAAGATATTTTAATTAAAGAAATAAAATGTATTAATATTAACTTTCAATTTTGGCAAAAGCAAAATTTTAGTACATGGCAATATATTTCTCTAACAGGTAATAACAAACTTAAAATGCTTAAAATGTTTAATTTGGTTATAATTTTTGCTCCAAAATATTTAATTTTAATTCGTCAATTGTGAGATAGTTTTTTAAAACTCTAAAATAGTTTAAAAGATCATACAACTACTGGAAATTAATATAAGACTGATGCTATTACTTGGTTTTAGTTATTTTTTACAAAATTATCAGGAGAATTTAATAAAACAATATTTACAAAAGAACTTTACTAATCTATTAATATTAATCTATACATATATGTAATAGTATATTATCTATCTTATCTGAATTTATTAATTTATAGAAAAGTTTTAGAATAAATATTTTTTCTTATGCAGCTGTTTAGAAAAAAAATCATCAGCAAGTATTATATTTCTTTTAAAAACTTTAAAAGATGATGGACATCAACTTACTTAAAAAGCAGCTATTTTTGAAGTTTTAGATTACAATAATCAAGGTCTTTACTTTTATAAGCACAATATTTTTTATATTTTAAGAAAGATACCAAAATTAAAATTTAACAATTTAATCACATTACTACATATTAATAAGTATAAATGCTTCAGATTTTTTTATTTGAAAATCTTATCAAAAATATCCTATATCTGTTACAAATCATATTACCATATATCTAGCTTGTGATATATGATTAACAGTATCTATAATTCTACAAATTTTTTATTTAATATTAAATTCAAATATATTTGATTTAATTAGTTTGCACTTTTGTTGTTTTTTTTTTCTTACTAAATTTACTATTACTTTCTAAGTTTTCTGAATTTAAAAAATTATTTGAACTATTTGTTGAAGAAAAAAGAATAACTAATGTTTGTTGTTGCTGAATATATTGCCTAATTCACTAGTTTGTATTTTTAAAGATTCTATTTAATAATTCATATGCTTTCTCACTACTAAAAACACATTGATATACAGTTATATCTGGATTATATCCCCTCTTTTTTCTAAAGAGTTTTTGGAGATATAACTCAAGTAGGGATATAACTTAGAAACAGATAAAAATATGCATATTTAGTTATGTGACATTGAACCAATCAAATTATGAATTTTATTAATAAAGAATTAATGTTATACAATTAATTAGGTGTTCTTAAGCAATACACTCATTATAATTAGCTAGTGTCACAGGGCTTTTAACTCAAAAGTTAAGTATACTATACTATGTTGACTACCAAAGAGTCAAGTTAGATATGTATCTCTATTCGAATTATGTTTGTTTTTTTATTTACACTTTTTCTTATATACTCACTTTGACTATTCTGATTACATCATACTTCAATTATTCATATTTGACTGTTTAATTAATTACTAATTGTGTTATTTTTTATGAACTTTATTATAACATTATTCATATATTGCTAAACATGAAAAATGAGCTTTTTTTTTGGTATTAAGGTAAGGCCTTACTCATATCTTTATTAATAATTTTAACTGTATATTTTAGTACAAAAGTACTGAAATAAACTAAGGTTGTTTAAAACAAAATAAAAATTATATACAAGAATGAGGGCTCAGACTAGTTTATCTGTGATCTAAACTGACTATAGTGGTCAAGATCTACCTAGATTTGGAGTGTTAGTATATAGTTAGAAGGAATATTGTATTTAATCCAGAGAATTGACCAAATGTTAAGTTTTCTAATTGCTTGACCAATTGGCAGACATATATTGAATTGTAAATGAAGTTGATCTGCAATGCCACATAGACATGAGTATGTATAGGCTTGGCGATATTGTTTGGAGACTCTATGATTTTGATGTTGTATATCAGTACTGCTAGTATTATTTTGGTATCTTGATGGAATTTGGTTATGTTTTTTCTAATTGGAAAATTCGATGCAGTATGGTTTCCAGATTAGTTCATAGATTTGTTTATTGATATGTAAAAGTATTTGAATAAATATTTGTAAGGCTGATTGGAGGGGTATATTAAAGTTGCGAATAACTTCAATAAGTGATTTAGGTATAAGTCCTTTAAGTGTAATGTCTATAAAGTATAAATTGTATTAAAATGGTATGTAATCAAAGCATGGATGATGGCATATATTAGAACCTAGTTCTTGAAGTTGGGAGAGTGATAAGTCCAGTCCAGTCTTGGAGAGTATTTGGTTAACGAATGTGTAAATAATATTGAGAAGAGTGTTATGTGTATTAAAGCATATGCGGCAGTATGTGGGTGAGTTAGGAAGATTGCATTTGAAGCAATTAGTATTGGAAAAGATATATGGATATCTGTTATGAAGAGAGAATTGAGTAGGTAGTTCATTTAGTAAGAATTTAGATTTGAAAGCTTTGAGTTGATTAAGTTTAAAACTAGTATAAAGAGATGTAGGTTTTTGGTTATAATTAAGATAAAGCCAAGAAGAGGTCTAGTCTATGAGGTGGTTTAGATGAGACCATTCACTGTTTCTTTTTTGTGAAGACCACATTGCTAGTATATATGCTTTGCATATATTCTTGATAAAGTATCTAGTTAGTAATTTGATAAAGTTTTGTTCCCATTGAAGAATATGATAAGAATTATAAATTTAGTATAATTAAAGATGAGGGGTTGAAGAAGTATATGTTGTTTTGCTAAGGAGTCTGCAAGATTGTTGAAAGGATTATTTGTATGGGCTTGAACTTTGTGAAAGATAATTTGAAGGTTAAAGAACTTTATAATATTAAATAAGGTATGCCATAAGGGCCATATACTAAATTTGAATAACTTATTAGGGTTTTGTAATTGGTTCGATAGTGCATAAAATTTTGAAATAACAGACTATGAGTCTGTATGGATGCTGATAGATGAATTGCAAGATATAGTAGATATTGCAGATAGAATTGAAACTAGTTCAGCTTTGTAGGATGATAGCCATAAATGAACTTGAGCTGAAAATTTATGAATAATTTGATTTTGTTCATTAATTTGAACCTATCCAATACCCATAGAACATTGTTCTGATCCAATATCAATAACAGAACCATCAGTATAAAAGGTAAAGTTATTATTTGTAGAATTAGATAAAAAGATATCTTGAAGCTCATGGGTGCAGCTATTTGGTTTAAAAATTTCTAAAATGCTAAAGTCGTGTATAATTATATTGGAAAGTATAGGAGGTATATATAAAAGATGTTTAATAGCTGTTGAGTATATAAGATCAATATAATTGGCATTGAGTTTAAGATTGTTAGAAATTTTTCTAACTAAAAATGTTGCAGAAATAATTGCTGATGTATTAATAGTACATATTTGGTTAATTCTATTTGAATTAAGATAGTATCCTGTACATGGTTTACATTTGATAGATAGAAGTGAATAGTATTGATCATAATCTAGATTAATATTAGATTTCCAATATGTAATCAAGAATGAATTAGAGGCAGAGATATATTTGCGAATTTTGCCAATAATAATTTCTTCATTATTGGAATCATAAGTAAAAAGACAGGGTTTTTGTTTTTTGGCAATAGAATATGTATTGTATGTGAAAGGGTTAGTACCAGGTGGTTGAAAGTGAGGTAAGATAGTTCTGTGATATTTATCTGATATGATTTTGTTTTCAAGAAAGGTAAACCATAAAGGTTGTTTTCCTTTTGTTAGTTGATGTAGTTTGGGTAAGAGATGTTGCCATTTAAGTAAAGTACTGTTATCAGCAGTGCATAGTTGCTCTAAATATAGGATATTAAGTTTTCTTAATTGTTTTTTAAAGATAATGTATTTTGGATGTTG